GAAGGAGATGTAGGGAGATGCCAAAGGTTTTTGTCCCTGGATTGAACCCCATCCTGTTCTATTTGGGAGGTGTCTGGTTTTAAGCAAAGACAAAATGCAAAAATCGCATTAAATTATTTTTCTTAGCTAAGGGTAATAATATAAAAAAGTTGAATAAAAGCATTGACAATTATTTTAAGAACGTAATATATAATCTGAAGTACAATTTAGATTTATTCATATCTCAGATTAATAATAAAGATTCAAAACATTGGAATGTTTTGAAAGCATTCCAAATACCTTTCCCAAAATTGTAAACATTGTTGCATCAAACTGGGGAGGTTACCATTATTTATGCAATAAACTGCATCCAAAAATTACCCAGTTTTGTTAGGACTGCATCATGTTGCTGGACCACAGCAGCTCTGCCCTTTCCCACTCTACTCCTGTAGTCTCTGTGTCAGTAGACACCTTCATTTATATTCACCACCTATCTTTAGGCCTGGATGTCTAAACTGAAATTTGACTTGTTTTAAATAGTGGCATTCTTGCTTCCTTTGTATCACCTGCATGGATTCCCTTCACCCCTGAAAGCAAGCTCTGTGATTTTGATGAGGTTTTGTTGCTTAACTTTAGATTTCTGCTCTTGACAGTATTGGCCAATGCATCTCTTGGACAAAGGTTTCCAAAAGAGGTTGTTGGACAGACATGCCTAGGGACAGCTGGCATAGACTGCCACAGCCACTAAGATACGCAGGGTGAGAAATCATTGTCCTCTTAGGGGACCTGTTAGCTTAAAAGTCTTTGGCATTTCCAAAAAGCTTTTGGTGAGCACTGTTCAATTGCTGGTATAAATTTTGTCGCTGCTACTACAAAGAGCATATCTACAGCTTTATCAGACTATCTCAAATGTCTACGATCATTGGAGAGAAATCAAGATGGTTTTAGTCATTGCTGGGTTTTGTCTGAGTTTTCCTAGGTCGTCTTTTTTCAGTAGTGGTATTTTGCACAGACTGGGGGAAAGGCAAATACTCATATTTAATAAATGAAAATAAGCCACCATTGTTTTGTTATCACAGGAAAACCTATCATCATGTGATACTCCTTAATAACAAACCCCACCAACCTGAGGTTGTTAGTGCAAAAACCAAAATATGGAGAGTGCACTTCTCTTACTCAGTGGAAGCCTTCCATGGTATTCAGTACAATTACACAATAAACATGTATTTGCTTTCATTAAAATAAGAAAGAAGGTGGTAGATAATCTGTTGTGTGGCACAGGGGAGCATCTCCATGAGTGATCTTTTTCTCCTCTCAAAGTTCCTCAGTAATGTGAAAACTTTGGAAACTTTATTACAGTACTCTTACTCTCTGAAGTCTGTTCTTAAAGATCTTTTTATTCAGCTTTTTATTCTTGACTTTCCTTTCTTTGCACCAGTTTCAGGAAATGAGAGATTTGTATCTCACCCACGTAACAAACAGTTTGTCAGCTTCAACCACAATATATGTGGGTAATTTGAGCTGAAGGAAGGAAGCCTGGAAGGAATATTTGTTTATGACTTTTTTTTTTTTTTCCTCCTTAGCATAAGCTAGGAAGAGTAATTGCATGCAGTCGTCCTCTTTTTCAGAGGCTCCTAATACATCCACGGCCTATTTCAAATAGACCTTAGTGATCATTCCTGATGGTCTGCAACAATACAGTAACTGTTCCAGTAATTCTCTGCGTAGAGTTGTTTAACACGCTGCCTCGGTTCATTAATATTGAGCAATGAGAACTACGAAGCAACTTCTGCCATGCCTTAGCCACCATTTGAGAAAATGGACTGTAATACCGTTTTGGGGAAAATATTTTTTTTGCTCAGGCAATTGATGTTTATGAAATACAAAATAAACGGGTGAAGATCAGGAAAGTCTCCTTTGCAATAGCTTCTTTTCTGATCCGTATCAGCCTTGCATGTCCTACAACAGTTGGGCTGTACAGCTGCAGGCACTGGTCTCGGATACGCAGAAGATGCCGGAAGCCGTTAAGCCCTTCAATGAAGGGTTAGCCAAGATCACACATGCAGGAGCAGAGAGGAGCTGAAACATGCAGACAGGCAGTGCGTGACAAGTCAAGCCTACAGGAGCATCTGTTTGGTCAGCCTCTATCGCGCGACCTTGAAGAGGCTACCGTAGGCACAGCACGTGTGTTATGAGTCGGATACGCAGAAGATGCCGGAAGCCGTTAAGCCCTTCAATGAAGGGTTAGCCAAGATCACACATGCAGGAGCAGAGAGGAGCTGAAACATGCAGACAGGCAGTGCGTGACAAGTCAAGCCTACAGGAGCATCTGTTTGGTCAGCCTCTATCGCGCGACCTTGAAGAGGCTACCGTAGGCACAGCACGTGTGTTATGAGTGGCTGGCAGTGACACCCTCCCTATGCGTGCCGCTCAGCTGCTCTGGGCACACGCACCGCGTCTGAAGAACAGCGCAGGGCATTATCCAGTGTCACTGGATTTACTGCACCTTCACTGCACGTGCAGGTACCGTACCAAAGACTTCCATCACCCTTACAAGGACCCTGAGGCATCACGGTGTCTTGAGAAAAACGTCTTCTCCCACAGTTGGTGATAAATTAATATAATCATGTGCTAAAGAGTAGCAAGAAGGGCAGGGAAATGCAGTAATTTGTCTCACTTTTTTTACAAATGTTTTCTCATTACTGGGCAGAATGGCAAAACCACATTAAATATTAATTTATTTGCAAGTATCATTTCTAGTGCTTTGTAAGTACCGGCACAGCATGAACATATATACAGCTCTATTTATATCAGCTGATTTTCACTGATTTTCAGCAGTCTTTGGGACTGTAAATACCTGAATTTAAAAAAAAAAATGTTACATCCCCCCATGTGCACAAAAAATGGATTGGGTCGATCTGATACATTTGATACATTACATATACTTTGTCCCTGAGATAATAAGTACCCTGTACAAACACTATTCAGTTGCATAATGTGTCCGTAACTTGTGCAAATTGGAATGAGATGGATGAATACCTGAATTTGTGCCCTTGGACATCACAAGTCATTCATTAGTGGACTTACAAAAGTACAAAGCCCAAATCTGGTGGGAGGTCATGTTTCTCATTTGTTTTCAAAAAAATTCTGACAATGCAAATGATTGAATCCCAAGAGTTAAAATAAGAAGCAGGTTTTTATGTATTTTTTATGAACTGATGAGAAGTCATTTCTGGCAAGGATAGTGATTTATATGGAGAAAAAAGGAGAACTGAGTCACATACAGTGAAATCAACCTATTGGTTTAAAGGCAGAAATGTATTAAAAAAATTCAAAAGCACAGCCCTATAATAGTGACATTGGAAGGGCTTGTTTCTCCAGAAAGCAATTTTCCTGTAGTTTCTCAACTACCGCTGGGTATTGCTGTGCCAGTTCTTTTAAACTATGGTAACTTTTGTCCAATGCAGTGAGTTTCATATCTGAGCAGCTTTCTGGTTTTGAGTAACTGCTTATATGTATTGAATGGTCCCACTAGCTTTCCATTTTGGTGTTTTTTCTGCTTTAATTTAGAAAAAATAGTGTTCTGGATTCTCAACGGTAGTAATCTAGCAAAACCTTTTAACAGAGTAAGCTATGTTAGTTGTTATTAGATGAGACTTGATTGATTGTCCCTTAAATTATATGTAGATTTTTGAAGTTAGCTTAAATAAAGTGATGATTGATACTTCCTGAAAATGAGCAAATTTAGGTCTTTTCCTGGTGCAAGTATCATTGTGGTTTTTGACTCATAATTAAATCAGCTAGGAAAATTAACTGTTGCAGATCTAAACAAGGAGTTAATTTGTCCTGTGCTATCTTTGTATGTCTATTAGATGTTTAATGTTATGATGCACATTTTTTATCTTCATAATCACAGTAAGCTCTAACCCATGGCATTAAAAGGTTTACTTTGCATCATATCATGCAATCTGTACATGTCAGAGGTGTTAGAAAAGAGATTGTATTAAAAAGTCGGGGCTTGTTTTTAACACTGGTATTAAGGCTATGATTTTTCTAAATCCCTTTATCTGCAAAGCAAAGCAAAGAAAAATATATATTACATATATAGATATAAATCCCATTTAAAATATCATTAAAAGCGCATTCCACATCTTCTGTTTAAAAAAAAGCAAAAACGTCCTTGAATTACCTTCTTTTTAAGACGTTTCATGCTTAGGTGCAAGTATTGTGCATTCCACTGGAGAGGTGAATCACTGTTTTCCTGGAACAAAGTTTCTCCTTCTGGTAGGAGTAGGTTTTGTGCAATAACCTGCTTGTCATCCAGGTGTTAATATTGCCCGTTTTGGATATCAGACTAGGGTTATTTTCATGACAAAACTGTGTATGTGACGAGAGGAAGAGTCTGTTTTGAGAGGTGGTTCTACCTACCACATTGGAGTCTCAGACTGTACGGCTGGCCGGCAGGCTGTATGGCTGAACGCCTCCAGAACTTGCACAGTGAGAAGCCAGAAGTTGTTGAGCAGTTTGAGAAGACTTGTCACGTTCGGGCCTTTCAGGGGTTGGAGGGCTCATGGCCTTGCATGATTTAGTTTTCCACATTAATGTTTCATGTTGTTGTTTTTTCCCCTCTCATGGGAAGAGAGAGAATGCGGACAACCGAGCAGAATGTGAAAACGGAAATTCTCTTCACATGCAAGTTCTAGATTTGCCTCTCAAGATAGGTTCATGTTCACTGGGCTTCTGTTGCCACCCAAAAAAATAAATGCAGCGAAAAATGTTTTTGTTATGTCAGCTAGCTAAAACACTGTGATTTCTGCCAATGCTATAGCTCCTCTGTAAGGAGTGTTGAGTAGGAAATTTGGTTTCTCTAAGAAGAATCACATGATGTGCTAAAATTGAGAACAGCTGCTTGCAGGCAGATGCCTTCACACACGCAGACATGGATGTTACAGCTTCAACTGAGGCAATTGTCAAGTATTTCGCTGTTCCTTGCTGACAATCTGATTTGTACTTTCCAACAGTGGGACGGCGTAGGACCTCTCCCAGACTGTGCAGAACCACCCAAAGGAATCCAGATGCTGTGGCACCCTTCAATAGTCAAACCCTACCTCACACTTCTTTCTGAGTGCTCAAATCCAGACACGCTGGAGGGGGCAGCAGGGGCACTGCAGAACTTGGCTGCTGGGAGTTGGAAGGTAGGAATATTAACCTGATAAGTATTTCTAGTTCAAAAACCCCTGCAGATGACAGCAAGTTAGTGATAGAAATGTGTCTGAATGCTCCTGGTAGTGGAATAACCCTCTGTTTTCACAGAACTATCTGCAGGCAAATTTGAGACAGTATTTTAAGTCCTCTGAATTGATACAGGTAGTCATACCATAGGACAAGTCAGCATACAGCAGTGAAAATCACATTGGTCAAGTCAAGTATGAAAAATTGCTGCTGAAAACCGATATGCAAATGAGGAGAAGCAGCATCTTTTTGAATCTGGGGTGACAGAGCCATGAAAAATAAGCCAGAAATATCACCAATATCACAATCAAATGAAACCATACTATTTTGTCACATTCTGTCTCTTAAGAGAAACCAGGCAAGAGCAGAGCAAGGTATAAATGATCTGACATCAATACAAGTAGTCTTACCACGTACTTTTTAAAAAAATAAGACATTATTAAAATGCGTCAACAATATGAATATGTCCAATGTGCAAGGAAATGCTCAATCAAGGCACCCTATTCCAGCTCATCCTACTTTTCAATTATAATAAAAAGATCCTTTTTACTCTCTCATATCATTTGCAGTGAATTGAGAAAAAATTTAAGAAGTCATTTATTAGATTTTGAAAATATGTCTAAACATAGAACAAATCAATAAAATTCAAGATAACAGTTGAGCCTGGTTTGCTTTTTAGGGCAGTTCCTTCATCGCTTTACTGACGGTAAGCTGGTTTGATTGAATGAAAGTCCTAACTATCTAGTCCTATTGTATAAAGATAATGCCTTGATTTTAAGTTAACTCTCCGTGGGAATTTTTCACATTCATTATGAAAACATGCATGTATGGGGAAATGCAGTTATTAAAGTTAGGTCTCAGAGGGTATCCTGTTTGGTTTTTAAGCATTTGGGCATTTGTATGTGATATGTAAATACCAATTTAATGACGCATTCATTTTGAAATCTTAGCTGTGAGGCTATTAAATTACATTTTTTCCCCTAAAGTTTTATCAGAAGTTGAGTTGGCACATTCAGTAGATCTTCAGAGGCATTTTTTTTGAGCCCACCAAACATAAACCGCCTTTGACTATTGCATTCATTGACATATGACATGAGTAACAACAGTATCTGTCCAGTGCTACATATACACTGTGCTTGAAAATCATTACACTTTTATTATTCTCATATTGTAGACCACATCATAGTGTGTAATCCTGGCACAGAAACACGATAAATGTGTTTAACTCATCTGGGAATGGGTGTAGCTCTGGTCCAAACGAGAAAACAATGCGTGCATATTTGCCAGGACTAACAGGAGTGCTAAAATCCAAATGGTGCCCCTTCTCCCAATTCTAATAGATCTGTACCTGTCATCCTTTAGTTGGCAGAAGTGTATGGTGGCGAGAGGAAGGAAGGCTCCGCAGAGCTCTTTGGCAAGTGCTGGGTTAGAAAATCTGATTTGAACTTTAGTACTGTCCACACTGATACCATGGGAAAAGCTCAGTTGTTCTCGTGTTGCTCTGGTTTTCTAAAGGCTCGCCAATTCCATTACAAGTGATGTGCAGACACAGAATGAATATCCTTAATTCACGTGTCATACTAGCCATTTTTGTGAGGGGAATAATCCTCTTTGGGGATTACATAAGCATTGATGTTTCCACCTTTTGACCTCTCTTTTCCACTGCTGCAGTCTTCTGGATATAAAATGACCGAAATAAAAGATAGAAAACTCTTAAAAGGAGAGGTTGTTCCTAAGGGAGATTTTCATTTTTTTAGTTCCTCTAAGAAATTGTAATCGTATAAAGAATGGGAAAAGATTTTTTTTTTTTACTTGAAATCTATCAAGAACTTCTTTATGATGGACTAAAAGAGAGAAAAAGAGCAAACTGCATTAAAATAAATAATGTTGCTATTAATATTAATAGCAATAGCAATTGTGGGTTTTTTTCTAATTAGCATTATTTTAATGCCAGAAGAATCCCAGAATATATGAGGCAGCCAGTGCACCAGGCAAGCTCACACACTTCCGAAGATACAGTCTCTTCCAGAAGAAAACACAGTGCAGTTGATACACTTGCGTAATTCTTTCCTAACTGTTTCACCCTTTTGGTTCCTCTGGTATAAAGCTGTCTAATCGTCTTCAGTGACCGAGAGGTAACACTTTTAACACAGGCAGTACTTAACCAATGCCATTATGACGGGAAAGTGAGCAGATAAAAGGAAGCCTGAATAATTTTTAAAAAATAAAAAACTGTGTAAGGGATTTAGATAAATGTCTGCCACTAAGAATTAACAGATGATATGTGTCTAAATGCCCTAGTCTGCTTTTGAAAATTTCAAACACAAAAAGAAAGCAGCAGTACGTAGCTTTAAGGATTAATAGCTGAGAGAGGCTGGAAGTTTTCATTATTACAGGGAATACAGTTTCTCATTGATACATATACATAAAATCAGCACATGCACATAATAAATCTTAATCTGCAGGACATTTTTAGCACTGTTTGGGTTGCAGGAATTCCTTCTAAAGCCAAATACTAACAAAAAAGTAAAAAGTGTGACATACATATATTTGCATATAATTTTTCTATGTCAAGATAAAACATTTTGGACCAAAGCCTTGCCATATATTACCCATCTGCAAAGTAAACTTGGGTTTTTTTACAATGACTAATAGAATATTTGTTCTATGCAATTGTTATTAGCATCAAGACAATCTATAACAAATCAAAAAAGGAGCATATTGGTGACAAATAACAGGTCCAAGTGAAAGTTCACCAGTAAAACAGGATACTGATCTGAGGTATGAGGAAGGATATTTTCAATGTGAAAATTTAACCTGGGGTAGATCACCTCTGTGTATCTTGACTTTGATGTATATTCTGGTTCTGAAGAAGAGATTGACAGCTTATTTACAAAGCAGAACTAATTTTGGAAGAGGCTGTTTCAGGTGAATATGGAAGTTTGTTCATCTCGCTCTTCTGCACCGAGACGTCGTTACATAGGGAGGACACTGGTGTTCGGAATCTGAAGGAAGCAAACCCATTCCTTTCATGGAAAAATGCATGCATATCCTCACAGATCTCTCTTCTTTGTTCATATACTTATTTGATGCATCTATGCATAATATGAGTGGCCTTTCCGGAATAATACATATGGAGATGTCCAAATACGTATGCTTTTGGGGGGGGGGGGGGGGGGGGGCGGGGGTTGACAAAGTTTTCCACATCGCTGCCAAGGTATGTTTGAGGGGTGACTACTGCTTTGCACAGTGGCCTGTGATACTGCACTGGTCAGTGCATGTCCCCCTCCTGATGGGGTTGATGGCCACCGGCAGTACACACCCCCAATACACATGCAGCCTGACAGCCTGCAGGTCAGGTTGTCAGCGCTGTACGTGCACGCACCTACCCTCTTCTGCAGAACTCAGCTGCTGCCTGGGGCTGGGTGGGTTTCTGTTTGAGGGGATTCATTGCTTCCCAAAATATTTTCTCCATCAAATCTTAACCAAGGTAATTTCACTGTATCCTAAACTTCCTACAGGCAGAAGGAGCAACACGTAAAAAGGATGGCCATTGGTTTTGGTTTTGCTGTCTTTCATTGCCACTCTGAGCTACCTTTTTCCCCAAAAGTAGACTTCCTCTAATTATACTTAATATGAACTTGTATTTTAAAGCTGCTTGGTAATATGAAATAAAATTCTAGGCAAATACATTCCTCATCAAGCTTAGCTGGAGATTTCGCTGAGCAAATAAGGCTTGAGACATGCCTTTGGAAGCAGTGGAGACTCCTTACTTCCCATTAGGTATCTACTTTCATTGCAAGCTCTGTTAGTTTTCTTTGTCACTTAATTTGGGTTTTGGCTAGTTTGTGCAAAAATGCACAAATAAAAATAGGAGGTTTGCTGACTCAGCTGTATTCTGAAGACACTTGCCTGCTTATTAAGAAATTTCTCTCACTATCACACTTCAAACCTGAAGTCCTTTCTGCAACCTCATATCATTAATTATTTTAGTACCTTGGATTAAAAAAATTACGAGGTATAAAATTACAAGACTCATCCTGTAAAAGGAAATCTCCATAGATCTTTTTATATGTAGTCTGGCATCAGTATTTTTCCTTACATGGTGGGAATAAAAGTGGCTTAAATCTGCTGAGCATGTAAAAAGTTATACGCAAAATGTCCTAGAGTTAACGATGTCAAGAATCCAAGGTTATGTCCCTTATGAACAAAATTTCCCTCTCGGGAAGAAAAGAGATATTGGGATATCTGTATATTACTATGTCTGCCTATATGCATCTGACAGCTAAATTTAGGCTGATGTCAGTTTGTCTGCCAGAGACATTTCTGCAATACCTGTTGATGTGAACTCATAGAATCACAGAAGGGCTGAGGTCGGAAGGGACCTCTGGAGGTCATCTGGTCCAACCCCCTGCTCAAGCAGGGTCACCTGGAACCAGTTGCCCAGGACCATGTCTAGACTTTTTTTCAATGTCTCCAAGGATGGAAACTCCACAACCTCTCTGGGCAACCTGTGCCAGTGCTCAGTCACCCTCACGGTGAAAAAGCATTTCCTGATGTTCTGCAAACGTCCTGTGTTTCAGTTTGTTCCCTTTGCCTCTGGTCCTACAATATTATCTTTTCTATTGCATGCAATTAAAAACACAGTGTTGTCACCACAAGTAGGATTTCCTTAGTTTTGTCGAACCCTTAAAAATAATTTCTTCATTCATATGATCCTGTTTTGTTTTAAAATACTATCATAACTTATATAGGTAGTACGTATCTTATAAAACCAGGAAAGAAGATCTACTGTGTTTCTGTTGGCAACGTAATGGCTTACATTAGAACAGGTAGCACACCTGCTCTGGGCCTTGGTTAGTCCTTTCTGTGTGCCCAGTCTTCTGTCCCAGTTACTTTTCAGGCTTTACAAACTTCCCTCATCTGCTTTAATGACAGGATGCCGACCTTCATTTTCCCGAGT